CTCATCGTGGCACACTCCACTCCACACCTCCGCCTCCTTCTCAGCGCCGCAAAGATAGACCCAGGGCGCTCCAACACCATCATTGGCTACACTAATCCCTATCACTCTAGCGACAAGCAAAGAATAGAAACAACAAAGGGAATGGTTGCGGCATGACGCGTGGGGGCGTTCGAACATGGTGAGAGATCCAACGACCCGCGCTCTCAGCTGTTGGTGAAAATAAATGTCTCTGTCCATTGCGTCCACACTCAATACAAACCAAACCCAAACAAGGCTGGAGAGGTGAAACAGTGAAAACCCAAAAAATAAAACACAGGTAACAATGAAAAACAAACAGGCCCCCTAACCATCAATGAAAAGGCATCGAGTAGTCTCAGGGAAGAAAATCCGCCTGACATTAGATGCGTCGAACCGGCATCAAGGCCATCGCACCCTCGCTTGTGAAGACAGTGGTCAATATCCACTCGTGTATCTGTTGTGAGGACACGTCTCCGCCGCCACACACGCCCTGAAGAGTCTCCATGCACCTCTCCACGGAGGGCGCAGCTCTCACGCTAAGCCAGTGAACCACGTGGCCTTGAAGTAGTCCCTGGTGCGCCTCGTTCCGTTTCTGTCTCTCCACCAGCTCCGACTCTACAGCCTCAAGAGCATCCAGCACCGCCTCAAGTTTTTCCTCCAACCTGAGGCCGCCGCGTGGAGCATTGGACGCTCCGTCATGCGTCGTCTCGTCAGGGGCAGTGGCGTCGTCGCAACACAGTCTCTGCAGGCCATCCGTCAAGTTGGCTCGCCAGTCGCGAAAAACGCTAGAGAGCTCCCCCGTAACACTGCTTTCATTGGCACACGGCTGCGGCTGCCCGTCTCCGGGCCCTGCAGCTGCGTACTCCACAATGAAGCAGTGCTGCGTGCTTCCGTCCGTGCCGGCCTCCTCCTCGTTGAGGTGCCAACTCACCCATGGCAACACGTGGAGAGCCGCCACACCGGTGGTCGCCTCGCGGCTGAGAAGCCACTTCTCCGTCGTGGCTACCAACTCCTCCATGGCACGCCTAGCCATTTCCTCCTGGTCCGCCACATCCTCCTCCTCGGCCCAGCCGTTCGCCATCAGTACCTGCCTGGCCCTAGCGATGGCACGTATCCTTATCTGCACATGAATAAAGAAGCCAGTGCTGTGGCCGCCAGCCTCAAGCTCCCGGAAAAGGGGCCCGTCCTCAATTTTCCTGGCTGAAACATCGGTACCGCGAACGGGCGCGCACACACGCTCAACAAACTGCAGCGAAGTGGCGGTGTACAACGGCACCTCTCGAAGAACGGGGTCCTGTGCATCACGCGTTGCCTCAAGCCCGGTCAGATCCCGAACCGTTGTAAGGAGAGAAGCGAGAAGCGAGGTGGGCGAAAGCCACTTCGTGTGATCTGGCTCGCCTCTTGTGAGGTCCACGTTCCACCAATGGATTACGTTGTGTGGAACGTAGCCGTGGTTCTCCGCGGGCAAAACAAGAGGCATCATGGTGCGCCGTACAAGTGCGGCCTCCTCCTCGTCCTCCTCCTCTTCCTCGTCGCTATCACCGACGCACACATCCAGCAGCACATTCTCTTTGCCCTCCACAACGCGCCGCACGGCCTTCTCCACCACCTTCTCCCACCACGGCATCCGCATTCCAAACACGGGCGAGTCCAGCAGCACGGCTTCCGCCGTCGGACGATCCGCAGGGTTCACCGCCATCATGGAATCGATGAGGCTCAGGAACTCCAACGAGAGCTCCCTCACACGCAGGCGCCTTGCCATCAGTTGGATGCCCGGAGAAAAGACCCAGGCGGGCCACACACCTGTGTCCTTACACGGACAAGCTTGTGTGCCCTCGCCGTCCACGGTCGTGTACCGCGTGTAGTCAACTCCCTCAGGCTCCCCATCGGCACCACCTCCGGCAGTGTGGCCAGCACGCCGTGCCGCAAGCTTCTCCATGGCAAGACGGAGGGCTTCGTCGTCCAAGAGAGGAACCTGCTTCAGCACCGCCAGCGTCGGGTACTCTCCGCGCGCCACACGGAACTGGGCCGTCACTGCAACGTCGGCAGACGGTGAGGCGTTGGTTGAAAAGACGGCGGCCATGCCATCGTCCACACCCGCAGCACCGCATGTGAGGAACAAGTAAAACACCGCTGCGGTGCTCCACACGTCGGAGGCGTATGAATACGGGCAACGCTTGCGGTAGCCCCAGTATTTCGCAATTTCGGGCGGGCAGTACACGCCAGACCCAATGACGGTGAGTTCAGTTTCGCAGCTCGAATCCGCGACCAGCGCGGCAATGCCAAAGTCCACAAAAAATAACTCGACGTCACTCTCCCATGCCAAAGAAGCACGCCGACGCACAAGGATGTTCGATGGCTTGATGTCGCGATGAATCAACCCTCCCTTGTGCAGGCACGCCAGGCCCCTGAGCAACTGCCCGAGCCAACACACCAGGTGCTCCTCCGCAATGTGCGTTTCGTGACGCTGGAAAAAATCCCCAAGCGTGCCACCAGCACCCAAGTCCATCAGCATGTAAGCGCCAACGGCGGCTTGTGGTGACGCGCACTGCAGTGGAAATGGAGCCACTTCTTCCGCCCGCCTGCTGACGCACGGTGACAGGACTACACCGTGGGACCGTGCAATGTGAGAATGGGGGGGAAGAGCGGCGGCCACCTGCGCCTCACGGAGAAAATCGCCCAGCGCAGGAAATCGCGACACAAGTTCACTCCTCTTGCCAGAGAAGACCTGGCGCAACGCCTCCAATGCGGCCTCGTCTCCATCCCGCTGCTCCGTCGCGGCAAACGGGGAAGGCTCGAGGAGACGCGTCACACCCTTCGCTGCAAAAAAACGCGTTGGGTGCACCCGGCTCTGCACAAGTAGCACCGTACCAAAGTTGCCCCGGCCAATCGGACAAAGAAAATCAAAGGGGTGGGTGTGGGCATCGTCACACGGAGAGCAATTCTGTCTGGCAAGGATCCCGTGACAGACGCTGGAGGGCTTCCAGCCGTCACCAGCAGCAGCGCACATCGCTCGCGCCGCATCACGCGTAATCCGCAGAAGCGGGCAATCCACCGCAGCACCAGCCGGCCTGCGCGCCACGCCGGGCTCTACAATCACAGCCGCAGAGCCCCATCTGCGTGCCGCAACGCGATCCAGCAGTTCGTCGCACCACGGCAGCGTCGCACCGCGGGAATGATCCGAGACATTAAAAAGCATCCGAGCGCACTGCACGCTCCCTTTCCTCGCCTTTCTTCGCTATACACCCCACCCACAAGAAAAGAAAAAGAGACGCACAGCATGACTTAAAAAAACACAAAACAGCGCAACATAAAATATATATATATATACACGCTTTACAGCTTTCCTGTCTCTATCCTCCTTCTCCCAGCCACACAGATGCATTCAGTGAGGTAATAGAAAATAAAGAAACAATGACTTTTTTTTTTCTTCTTCTTCTTCGTTTTGAATGCCGTTGTCGTTATCTTTGTATTAAACGACCGACAAAAGAAAAGCAGTGCGACATACACATATAAAAATAAGAGATAACGACAGACTTGTCTGGGTTTTTCATTCAGGGAACACAGGGGGTCAAATCGTTGCTGTTGAGTAAATTTAGTCGAGCAGGTGCCTAATACTCGTATCCCACATGCTCCTCAACTTTGGTTTTTTTTTTATTTTGTTTTTTGTTTGTTGTTTCTTTATGTCTCTTCTTTTTTTGCATTTTCGTATATCCATCATCTCAAAACATAATTCTGGTTCAGCACTCATGCATTTATTTTCTATCAGATATCGATCGCGTCACGGTCCAAACTTTTTTTTTTCCTTCTTTTAAACCAGTAATAAGTTCTCATTGCCCGCCTACAAAAACAAAAACAAAAAAAAAAAGGAATGATACAATCAAACTATTTTTAAAATCAAGAAAAGAAAAAAAAATTGTTTTTTTTTTTCCCTGTCACGATGGGGAAGTAAAGAGGGGTAGGAAGAGAAAGACGGTGTTATTGCATTCATTCCCCATCCGCCCATCGACTCATGAAAGGAGCATAAGAATAAATAAAAAAAAACTTTTTCTGGGGTCTTGTATAAATTCGGGAGCACTGCGTGTGTGTGTGTGTGTGTGTGTGTGTGTGTGTGTGTGGGAAGGCTGGGCGTGGGTGCCCGTGCTTGACTGCAGCCCCTGAGGCATATCAGGGTATAAACGAAGTGTGGGGCAGAAAGGCACACACACATGCACACGTGCACACGCCTGAGAGTGAAATATGCACATGAATTAGGCGATGATGGTTGTTATCGGGGGTTCAGTTATCTTTTCTGGAGGAATCGGCAGCATTTCTTCAATCTCCTTCTTATCGCGGAATTCCAATCCATTGGGACCAACATCCGCCGCTGCGTGTCCATAGCAGCTGACTGATGGTTGTGGCCGCCGTTGTCGAGCAAACGAGCCTGTAAATGAGGAAGACCAACGGCTGGTACACTTCCTTGGTTTCTTCACACGGGGTTTGTACAAGGCCATCACTGCCTTGTACGGGTACGTTGCAAGACGATCTTGCACGGCGGAGCCCGATGTTTGTGCCTTGTGACGCACGCTGAACTTCACGATAAGTCGACCAGACTCATCCACAAAAAAGCGGATGTTTACAATATTGCTTTCCGGCTCCGCTGTAGCCGCTGCCGCCTCCGTCGTAAACGCAATCCTAAGTTCGTCACGCTTGGAGTTGAGTACAATGTCCCAGTCTTCTCCTCGAAACCGTAATGCGTGTTTTGTAAATTCATATCCCTGATCATCAATGGCGCGTACTCGCACCGGGACTGGAAGGCCGTTGACAGTCCGTGGTTGCGCATTGTTTTCTTGCACGGGCTCTCTTGCATGGCCCCCCACGGGTGAGTTTTGCGCATTTTCCGGATGTGTGGCCATGGCTCGGTGTGTATAAAAGTCCCTTTTTTTCTGTTGTTGTTGTTGTTGTGTGTATGTTCTTTCTTCTTGTGGCAATACACGCAATTCCTATCCTTTTCCCTTCCCCCACCCTCCCTGCTTTGTGTGTGGATATGTAAATATATATAAATATATGTACGTGTGTGTATTATTATTATTATTATTATTGTTATTATTGTTATGTACTTTTTCTTTTCTTGTCTCTCTTCTCGGTTTGGTTGGGGAAAGGGCTTCAAGTGATGACGCCACGCCGGTCACATCAATAAAATTACAAAAAAAAATTTAAAAAAAGAAAGAGAAAGAAGGAGAGAGTCAGTGTGATTGGGTATAAATGTGGGTTAATACCTTCCATCGGTCTTATTTGTTTTTTATATATTGCGGTGTGGTGGCAGCCATTCATTCATCACGCCCCATCTCTCATTCCTGAACGCACCGTATGTGGGATGCATGTATTTGCATGTCCCCTTGTATGCAAAAAAAAAAAAAAAAGAAATAATGATAATAATTTAAAAAATAAATAAAAATAAAAATAAAAATGAAATGACGATATATACATGTATAAATATAAATATATACAAAATGTGTTGTTTTTTTGTGTGTGTTTTTGTTATTTTTTTATTTTTTTTTTTTTTGGCATCCTTGTCCCGTGCCACGCACTGACGCGGCTTTCTCTCCTGCCTCGCATCCATCCTTTATATTTGGACGGCACCGCCTCCTCTTTTATTTGTGGCTGGTGGTGTTTTTTGTTTTTTTTGTTTCGTTTTGATTTTTTTAAATTCCGCCCGTGTGATATTCTCGCATCTCCCCCATATAAATGCATTGCAGGCATGCGTGCTCTCACGGGTGGGAGGCATGCGGAATTTATTTATTTGTTGTTTTTTTTTTTTTTTTTTTTTTGGATGGACCACAAAAATAAAATTTAAAAATAAAAATAAAAATAAAAATAAAAGGGGAAAAAAAAAAAAAAAAAAAAAAAAAAATGTGGAGGTTTCGTCGTGGAGAAAAATAAAAACAAAAATAAAAAAAATATTTTTTTTGTTTCCCCCCCCCCCCCCTTTTTTTGGGTTTTTGTGTTTTTGTGTCCCCCCCACATTTTGCCCGTCCCTCGGCACGAAAAAGTCGTTTTTTTTATTTTTTTGTTTTTTGTTTTATTTGCAGGCAAAAATAAAAAATGGCAAAAAAGGCCACACAAAAACAAAAAAAACAAAAACGACAAAAAAAACCCACCAAAATTTCCCTCCGCCTGCCCACACACGCACCCGCCAAAAAAAACACAAAAAAAAAAAAAAAAAATTTGTTTTTTTTTTTATTCTTTTTTTTTTTA